GCGGGCGGGGAAAGGCATTGCCCAACTCGGACAACAAGCGCACCAATCAATCCCCCGCTAGTTGTTGGTAATGAATATGGTTCAATTTAGGATTAATGCATCGAGCAAACATACCTCCGGATATCGATTTGGATCACCTTGGTGAATTTCTTGATGAGACCGGTCTCGACCTTTACCGATGTTTGGTGATGGAAACATTGAGAGTCTTGGCGGAGGTTGATATTTGGAAGAAAAAAAAATTGTACTAGGCGAGTCTATACAACCTCAAGCCTTATCTCGATCTGGGGGCCGCAAATGTACACCTTAAACAAGTGGTACATGCAAAGGCGTCTACCGATGGAGACTTCTAACGTTGGTGTCGAAATTAGAGACGAACATTGGTTCCGTGGCGATGATGTTATGTATGTTGACTTTGCGAATTTCATCAACTATGCCACCTGACCTCTCTCGGACAAAGTTATCATTAGTCGCTATTGCCCGTAAGTAATAATTCTTTCGATCTATTATTAAACTCATCATATGTGTGTATATGCATATAAATTATCCTAACAAGTACTATATATATGCAGATTTACAATGACAGAGCTCGAGAAGGAAGGCTGCAATGAAATTGGTTTTGTTGATCCCCATATAGTATTCAAGACCCAATTACTCCAAAAACTAATTGGAAGTCCGAGTCGAGAGTAACCTCATGAACTTCTTAGTGAACCAACGCCACAAGAAGGATATACTCTTTCCCTATAACTTCAAGTGAGTGTTAATCATGTCGATCATATCCTTAATGGCTCATATGTTGATTCTAGTTAATTAATGAGTGTTATGCGTTATATCCTATAAACACATGCAGCAATCACTTGGATATTGATGGACATCGATCCGGTGAAAAGTCACTTGATAATCTATGACTCGATGAGAAAACCACAACAAGACTACCAAGATATGATAGATATTATCCGGGTAATTTTGGGATCTCTAGCAACTATATATACACACAAACATGATGATTAACTATATCGATGACGTGGCAAATTTTTTATTAGGCGGTGTTTGGAAAACCTTTATTGAGAAGCAACACATGGAAAAATGCAAAGCGCCAATTGAATGTAATCCTTTGAAAGTAAGTCCCACGAATCGCATCATCTTTATTAATTAAACATATAGCTTTCACCGGATCACCGTTGGATGACAAATCTTTTTCTCGTAAGTGGTGTGGTGTCTAAGGCGAGAACAGGGGAACAACTACTGTGGTTACTATGTTTGCAAGTTTATCAAGGTGCTCTCCCAAAGAACTCCTACAGAGAGACTCAAAGTACGTTAAAAATACACTATATATTCATTTAATTATTATTATTGATTGTGTTACTATGTCTTTATATATATATATGTACATATATTAATTTATTTTCCTTTAATTCAAACCTATAGACTCGATGGTTGGAGGAAAAGGTCATACAACAAGACCAAATCAAAGCAATTCAAGAGTCTATAGCGGGATTTTTTAATGAGCAGTCATCGATTCCAAGGGTGAGTTCTACTTCGACCCAACACTGCCATTGAAGCCAAGCTAGAGGATGAGAGAAAACTTGTTATGTCACAACAACTGTAATGCAATCTTTTGTAATATATGCACATGAAATAATATAATGTAAAATACACATATGCATGCATGCATGTAAATATATATATGATGCATGCATTCATATATATATATATATATATATATATATATATATATTTCTATGCTTGAATTGTGTGATTTAATACGTTCATTGTGCTTGAACCGAAACATACTATATGCGCGTATAAATGTATAATTAGCAGCGTACAATACGACTTCGAAAACCTATTTTGAAAAGAAAACAAAAAAATGAAAAGAAAAGAAAAAGGAAAAAAACCTTTAGTCCCGTTCAGATTACCAACCGGGACTAAAGGTGCCGCCATCGTGGGCATGTCGGGAGGCACCTTTAGTCCCGGTTGGTGTTACCCACCGGGACTAAAGGTCCTCCTTTAGTCCCGGTTCCTGACCCGGGACTAAAGGACCCCCCTTTAGTCCCGGATGCTTGCTCCCGGGTGGGGAACCGGGACTAGAGGGGGTTCCCCACCGGGAGTAAAGCTCGGTTCTCTACCAGTGTATGTGGTGTGTGGAGATGATATATATATGTGATATATGTGCTGTGTAATATATCTGTGCTGTGAAACATATCTGTGCTGTGATATACATGTGCTGTGAAATGTAATGCAAAAACAAAAAAATTCAGATTTCTGAGGCTTTGCCAAGTGTTATGACCAAGACACTCGGCAAATATGAAATATTTACCGAGTGTAGGTATTATCACACTCGGCGAAAAGCCATTTTTGAAAAAAACCAAATACTGTTTCTAAAATGTTTGCCGAGTGTCTGGCTGCGCGGCACTCGACATATTATTATCATTTACCGAGAGCAGCACTCGGCGACAAGGAATTCTAAAAACATAAAATATTTAAAAAGAAATTAGTTGCCGAGTGCCTTGCCGTTTGACACTCGGCGAAGTCGCTGTTAATGGCGGGTCTGGCGTTATGACCGTTTCTTTTCGCCGAGAGCCAAACTGCACACGGCAAAAACTTTGCCGAGTGCCCGATAAATGGCACTCGGCAAAGTTGGCTTTGCCGGTACTGTTTATGGCGAGTGGTATTCGCCGAGTGTTACACTCGGCGAACAATTTGCCGAGTGTTTCGGGCACTCGGCAAACTCAAGGAGTCCGGTAGTGCTTATAATGGATAATACAGTGGTTGATCACATCCTATTCCATATATATTACTATATGAGCGGGCGCGCGCACCACACACACACACATATTACCATGGGATACCTTATTTCCTTGTAAAAATATACTGACGGTGTATCTTGCTCTACATATAAATCTATTCCTTACAACATGGAAATTACCAAGTGCAAGCACCATGCCAATGTTGCAAACTATCTATTATTGTTATTGTCTCGTAATCATATTTTTCAGCAATGGATATAATTTAGCAAAGCATCTAAAATGACTTCACATGTTGTCTTATTCTATATATATAGGTGAAGGAATTAGTTCGGGAATACACCAAGGAAATAAAATGGCGTGATGAAGATTATGTGCCAAAAACATTGAAAGAACACCTTCAAGTTTCACTCATAAGCATTGGAGGCACCCTGGTGCTATGTTCCGCGTTTGTTGGAATGGGCGATATAGTAACAAAGGAGATCATGCAATAGGTTATGAGTGATGCTGAACTTGTTAAGTCTTTTGGTATATTTGTACGGCTCTCCAATGACATTGTATCAACCAAGGTCTTTCTCTATCCTTTGAGTAGTCTAATTTCATGCAAAGATTATACCCTGATTTTAACTCGTATCAACGTCTAGACTCACAACGTAACTTTGTTCGACAATTATATTGATAATGATGGACATGACCCCAAACATAAAATTTTTGTTAGCATTCATAGAGTTTGGGATATTAATCAAACTATATTTGTTTAATAGAAAATCCCTAATATTGCACATTTTGCAGCGTGAACAAAGAGAGAAGCACTGTGTCATAACTGTTCAGTGTTACATGAAGCAGCATGCATTAACAATGGATGAAGCATGTGAAGAGATAAAAGAACTTACAGAAGATTCATGGAAGTTCATGATTGGACAGGGCCTTGCACTGAAAGAATACCCGATAGTTGTGCCGCGAACGGTACTTGAGTTTGCACGAACTGGAGAATACATGTACAAGAAAGCTGACAAATACACTGTCTCCCATACAATCAAAGACATGTTAACATCGCTTTACGTGAAGCCAGTACTGATGTAAAGTTTTCTCTTATTGTCATCTTTGATCAAGAGAATACCAGCATGAAGCTTTGCTCCAAGGAGGCAGAAATAACTATCGGAGCTATATATATTGTACACCTTAAGTAATGTTCAAGGATGTGGTGGTATATATTACCCAAATAAAAAAGACAGCAGCCATCCTATAGTTGTTCTCGGGCATTGTTGGAAAATATACATGTTACCATCAACTGTATTGTGCTATGTTTCCCTCAGCTAAAATAAAGAACTTTTCTCTTTAATAGGTGTGTTGTACTGCAGCTAGGTATTACAATTCATCATCATCGTCAGACCTTCGACTTGATAAGGAACTCTTCGGCGATCACTATCTAAACCTAGAATTGATTCGCTAATATCCATTATCCATATGTACAATATTGGTCTACCTCAGAATGAAAGGATATGATCCACATGGCACCCCACGGTGTTGGGTAACCCACAAATGTCGTATCAAGCAAAGACAAATGCCACAAACCACAAAGGATCACCACTTGCCACCCCACTGTCCTAGTTATATAGCACCGTCCTCTCCAAGGGGCGACATGGGAGGCACCTTTCTCCGCCGCCGGCCGGTTCCCTCCCCTGAGCCTCCCCAGCCTGGCCGCCGCCAGAGATCGATGTCGGATGTCCGGCGGAGGGCGAGGATAGCGGCGGCTGGGCATTCTTCCCCCCTCCCTCTCTCCCGTAGGGCATGGCAAGGCCAAGCGACGCGGCAACCGGCAGCGACCGGCGGCGCGAATCCAGCCCAAGTGAAGGCAGATCCGGATTCCCCCCACACCGATCAGTCGTTCCTGCGCATGGAGCTGGTGGTCAGGGGCCTTTGGTGGTGGCACGCGGGCAAGGTGTCGTGGGCTCGCGTGGCGATGCGGCTGCTCCCTCCTCAACTCCGGTGGGCTTGGCACACATCTGGAGGGCGAGGTGGAGGTGGGCCGTGTGAGCTGCGTGGCGACGGCGATATGGAGGCCGCACAAGGTCCGCACGGCGATGGTGGTACGGAGGCCGCACATGGGTCGAATACAAGCAGCCCCCTGGTCAGATCTATGAAGGAAGGCCGGATCTGGTGGGTTGGAGCCCAATTTCGGCCCTACCTGCCTGGTGGTGTCTCGGAGGCCACGCGTGTGGCACGGCGATGGTGCGAACGGCCGTGCGAGAGGGGTCAATGGCGCAGGTGGTGACAGCATTGCGGCGAGGCGGTGCGCCCACCGTGCGTGGAGGGCCAATGAGTGTGGGGAGTTTTGCGCATAGCGCGTGGTGGCCGCGGGCACTGAGGCACGGAGGCCTGTGGTGGCGCGGCATGGTGACTGCGATGGCAGCTGTTGCAAGTTGCTATAGTAGCATGGTGTGGCCGCGGTGGCGTTGGCGGTTGGGTCGAGGAGGGTGGAGGCCATGTTGAGGACTCGAGGTGTGGGTGTTCATGGTTGCGGAAGGCTGTCGGGGAGAGGGTATTGGCGTAGCAATTGGAGGGCAAGGCTTCTGCATGGCAGTTGAGGGCGATGGTTTGGTGGAACCATGAGCCAGTGGTGTCCGCGAAGTTGGCAAGGAGGCCGGCGCTAGAGGAGGTGGCCAGTAGAGATGTGTTGCTGAAGTGGCCTACGTGGTGTGGCGACGAGCGATCCCGCATAGCGGTGGCCATTTCGGCGCAAGGAGACCCTTTTGTGGCAGTTGGAGGCCCCATGTTCGTCTTGCTATCTTCGGGGAAGCAACTTGGTTGCCGGGAGCTACGATGTATGCACCGGATCTCAATGGAAATGGGCAGCATGTGGATGAGCAAAAGTAGCTGCTCATGTGTCGAGGTGATGGCTTGCAGCGGATTGTGGCAATGTCATACCCGATTTCGTAGCGCCAAAATCGGGTGCACATCATATGTGTGCCAGGATCAATTTCCACACATGTGACTTGACATCATCAGTGATAATCAAAAATAGTGTACGAAAAATAGTGTATTATTATTATATGGTCATCAGAATTTAATTACAGGCGAAGCGTCTTATTATAGAGAAAAGACAAAACATCAATGCCCTCCACAGGAAGGTCGACGATAGCACACGCGCCTAACACCTAGGAATATCCTCCGAATGCCCATCCCAAGCTTCATCTTCTGAGCAGCCTTTAATTTTATTTGGGGAATAGCAAGGGTGAGTACTTGTTGTACTCAGCAAGTATAGGCAGAAAGTAATACAAAATGCAAGGCTTAAAACAAGGACAAAGCTAACTCGGGCTTACTGCAGGTTCACATTTTTTTAGTTGGCAAAGTTTTATTAAAAACAACCTATATTCACTAAGTGAGTAAAGAGATATCCCAAGCCCTTAATTAAATGAGAGTGTCATCATTAAGTTTTATGAAACCATTCAAAAGATTTTCATCTCCATTATCATACGGCATAGCCATGCCCGAAATCTAAACCGAGGTAGCCACCTCATCAGCAAAGGACATAGCAATGCCCAGCAAATTCCTAGAAATTCCATTTATAAACATGTGAGATCTATTTCTAATCATGTGAGGGTCTAGGCCGCTTGTATCCGTGAGCCCGGCTGATATATCAATTTTACACTCTGCAGAGGTTGTACACTTTCACCCCATGTCGTGATTCCCATTTGCCCGAGACTTGCAAGACCCACAAACACTTCCAAGGTGAGCGGGCAGGGTTTCACTATGAGACTTTTTACAGTTTCTACTAGTAGGAAGCAACCCGATAGGTTTCAATCTGGTGCATGGTTAGCCGTCCCCATAGGGACCCCATGTAGCCACCCACAACATCCCTCACAAGCGAGGACTACCATACTTAGGAACCAAGACCCCCCCCCTTTGCACCTACCCAGTAAGCTGCTGCACTACTAGCAGAAGGTATGCTAATACGTCAAGTCAGAGCCATAAAAGCTTGGGGTTGTACGGTATATCCTGGGTGATCGCTCCACGAACTGGTCCTTAGGGAGGGCAGACATAAGTACCCAAAACCACAGGCACTTATTTCCCCTATGTTGCTAAGAGCCAACTTTTAATTAACCATCCATTGCAGTGAGCCATTAGTCAGGATTACATTATCATAATATAAGTAGCCTGATCCTTTGTGGGTTGCAGCAGCTAAGCATATCTAAAATTACCCGTGTGAAACCCCCAGGTGCAAGGAAGGACTTAAAAGACTAGTCAGAGTTCTTAGGGTCTAACAAATTAAGACACATGCATAAAAGTAAAGTGTAATTAAAGTTAAATAGGTAAACAATATGCTTCAAGGAATGTGCTGTACTTGCCTTCTCCAAATGCGGGTTGCTCGGGTTCCTGCAAATCAGGTTCTCCTTCTCCCCCAAAGTGATCCCTGTCTATACGTGTCAATCATCACATACAAGGCAAACATATAATTTTAATGAGAAACATTACACCAATACATGGAACAGGTCAAGACAAGCCTACTGAACTATTCTACGCGTCGAGACGAGCTCGTGGGTTCAAGAACCGCTGAAATCGGAGCTAAAACGGAGAAGTTATGGTCATTTTATGTGACAAGGGCAAACCTGTAAATAAGATAGACTAAATTAGGATTTAAAATAAATAAAAGCAGAAATTCATTTTGAATCTAGGACTACGGGTTAATTTGCGAAAAGTGCAGGGGCTCTTCCGTGGACTGGCCTTGGGCATCAGGTCCACGTTGACCGGCGGCGCGGCGGTGGCCATGGGTGGCGGTGGGAAGCTCGCCGGGGAGGTGCTGGGAACCTCCCCAGCCTGCGTGGCTGACACAGGGCAGGAGCGGGCGATGTGGCTCGCTCGATGGGGCACTTGCCCATGGCAGAAGGTGGTAGGGAGGCGGTGGTGCGCACAGCGGAGGCGCTCGGCTTCGTCGGAGGAACTCCGACGCACCTTGTTGGTGCGCAGAAAATGAGAAAGATGAAGCGGAGGGCACCGACGGGAAGCTTACCGCACGGCGAAGCTCGGCGGCCGATTCTTGACGGCTGAGAAGTGGCGGAAGCGAAGCTTGGCGGTGGCGGGATCTCAGCGAGTGATATAGAGAGAGTGAGAGCGAGTGCGAGTGGGAGTGAAGGAGTGAGGGCAGGCGTGGCTGCCTTTTATAGGCGCCCAGCTGCCACCGGCGAGTGGGCTTAGGGGGGCGGGGCGGCGATGGTGCATGACGAGCGAGCGGCAAGGCTGGGCGTGCGCAGGCCCATGACGCAGGGGGTTGCGCGGGCATGGCTACTACATGCCCATGTGGCCACGCGGCGTGGCCGGGCGGCTCTGGGCGGCCGGCGACGGCATGCGGGCGTGCGGGGAGCGGGGAAGGGGATGACTAGGGGGAGGGGCCGCTGACGGGCAGGCCCCACCTGGCGATGAGCGCGAGAGAGGGAGAGGGAGTGTAACACCCCTGGTGTTACAAGCTCGCTTAGCACCAAGATTAAGTCTAAGAGAACTTTGCAGAGCAGGTTTTTGGTTGTTAAAAATTTAACACACATATGAAATGATAAACAAAACTTATGTGACTCATTTTTGTGGTCGGAAGAAATTCAATCAATATTGTAGGTTAATTTAGTTAGTGTGTAAAATGTTAATAGAAATCCTAACAGGGAGAACGAAGTAAGGGGTTTAATCGGTTGGCTTGAAAAACAATTTTTATACGCAAAAACAAAATATAGCTTGTATTTAGTATTTAAATAAAAATTGAAGTACAAGTTTAGTAGATAAAAATGCAACTTTTGTTTTGGTGAATAAATGTTGTTCAATAGTATTTTTGATAGCTCAAAAATCAAATCTAAAATTAAAATTAGATCTTTCCGTTGAATCGGGAGGAAGTTGAACTTGTGATTTAAGTGCCATTTTTGGCGAACTATATTGAGCAAACTAATTAAATAGTGTTTAAATATTTTGTTCCTACGGCATAGTATAAAGTACGGACTTTCGCATGGAGTATTTCTGGGTTGCAGTTAACAAGGTTTAGGCCTTTTAAAAATTGCGGCAAAAGTGTTCATGGTTGATGAGTTCAAACCGGACTCTTGTCCTTTCTATGTCTAAAAAGGGAGTAGACAATGCCATTTTGGCGTTTAAGTTCTAACTAAAATGCTTAAACACTAGCTTCATGTTTTTTATTGTTGGTTGCCTCTAAGTGAGTACTTTAGCATAGTGTAGTTCACGGATGAGTTGGAGTTGGCGTGGCGTCGCAAAAATTGCCCTAACTTCACTAGAACGAGCTATTGGTTTTGTTTCGGGCTTCGATTGTGAAAGGGCATTCAGCGCGATGAGCTCATGTTGGCATCCTTCTATCCCCCTCTTTGGTTGCTCTCTGGCCATGGCGATGGCTTTGCTAGGTCGCTGATAATGTTGACTTTAGGATAGGGGAATTAGTTGGGCCTTAATTGTGATCGTTTGTAGCTTTCGCTTCGCTTTAAAATGCATGCACATCACCAATAGTAGTCGCTCGGTCTGAGTTCACGGCCACTGCGGGCACAATGCTGTTGGTGCCAGGCTCATGTCATCACCAGGCTGCGGTCGCTGGCCAACTCGTGTGCCAAGCCGATGCCGCGCTGCGCCCTGGCCTTGCGTTGGCTGACCCAGCTGGCTACGGTCTGGTCCCACTACCATGGTGTGCGCACCAACATCCAGCAGCCGAGCAGCGCGCGGGGTTAAGATGGAGCTACGGCTATCACCGCCTTGCCATCATGACGCTTGCCTCGCCCTTCATCTTACATACCGCGTCGAGTCTCTGAGCATGTGCCGCTGCCCGTCGCATCTAGGTTGACGACCCCTGTCACAACGGCGATGGGATGCCTCCCTGCCTCACTTGCCCTCGTTAGCTGACGCTAGGGAGCCCTGCTCGAATCTGGCCATGCCATTTCGAGAGCTTCGTGCCAAGCCTTGGGGTCTTGTCGTCCGCATGAACAAGCTCACATTGCTGCCACCATCGAGCGGAGCCACCCATCTTAACTTGCTCGGGTTCGCTCGTGTGCCCTCTCCATGACCGCACGGTGTGCTGAGCCACCACTCCTCCTTTCCTCCTAGCGCTAGCGGCTTCACCCTATAATTCCTCACTCTAGCGGGTAGCTTAAGAAGTAGGCTAGCCGTCTCTTCCCCATCAAGCTCGGTCATGCCCTACCGACCGGCAATTTGGCCTTTTGATCGTTGACGGTCATGGGCGCCGCTGAATCGGTAGGTTAGGAGGTAAGGCACGTAGGAGTGGTAGCAGTTCGATTGCTTGTAACCCTGAGCTCGCCTGGACTCCCTCCATCCGGTGCTCACGCTATATTGGCCAGGATGCTCGTCGACAGCGTGGTGACACGTCGGTGTCCATCGCGGAGCGCCACTGTCCCGCTCGGTCATACGTGGCTAGCACCGCACGGGGTCTCTCCCACTTCACTAATGTGTTGGTTGTACACGTGGTATGTCACTGGTGCTCACGCACCACTTTTCCACCCCCTCCGTCCTCCTCTCTCATCGGAATGATCGCGCCGCCACTGTGGATAGTCGCTCGCCGCTGCAGCTCACACTAGTGTGCCTCCGAGCCCCTAACCGCCACCCATCTTGGCGCGTTTAGCCATAGATGGTGACCAACCTGCTAAATGGGTCTGTGTAGGCCCATGGTGGCCGGCGTGGACACCCAGTGCCGCTACACGCCGCACCACCATGCACGGTGCGACCGGGGGTGTGCGCGGGGA